ATAGGCTGCACATGCTGTACCTTCAAAGCACATTTGAAGCTCATTTTCCCCTCCCAAGAACTCTAGTTTACCCCTTCACAGAGTTACAGTTCCCAGCAACCCTTTAACAAACTACAGTGTCCATAATTCTTTGAGGGAGGGAATGTGCTTTGAATATGCTCTAAAGGTATAGTGTGTAAGCAGGCTAAGTTGTCTACATAGACATTCTGTAAACTCTAGACTTCAGGCTGGATCTACACATGCAAATAAAAGAGGTGGTAAAGCCTTGGTGAAATAGGCTGCATCATTTCAGGTTGCTTGCAGTGGATATTCCTGACAGAAAAGAGAAATACAATCCGCACAGCAGATTCTAGCCCCTACCTTATATCTCCACAAATTCTCATTTCTTCTGGCTTTCTTTCTTTTATGTGGGGAAGCATTCTAAAAATGATATTCCACCACATGAAGCCTTTGGTCCGGACTTTATCACCTCTTTCTGCTGAATGAGTAGACTGAGGGTATTGCCACACTAGTGTTTTAATGTGCAAGCCATGGTTTGTACATTCGCTTTGCGTGAGGTATCCATATGACACATGGCCATACTTTCTCCCCACCCCCACCCCCAGTTCTGTCAACTTTCCCCATATTATAATTTTTTTGACCTTTTTAAAAAGAAGAGCAGTGCATTCTTCTAAAGCGGAGACAGCCTTAGTGCCACCCTTCTGACCTCTGAAAGAGGTGTGTGTTTCGGGTGTGCACTGACATTTAGGGAAGACAAATCTATCGCCACTTTGCACACGTCTTTCCCTATCCTTTGCCCTGTTGCTCAGAGCAACTTGCTTGGCTTGATTGATTGCTGTTCAAGAGGCGGGGGAGAAAAGAAGAACCTGTCTCCTGTCTTTGGCTGCAATTTTATTTTTGTCACTTTTCCTGTCTTCTGATTAAGTGGCAGCTTCTCCTTGCAGCTCTCTGGGCCCCCCACCTTCTGAACACCCAAGGGAGGCAAGCAGCTCTGTCCCCAGGCAAGTGCCCTCTTTTTCCTGTTGGATCCCCTCACTGCTACTCCCAAAACAGCAAAGTCACAACACATCCATAACAAGTGCCTTCTCTCCCAATGCCTTCTTTATTTTTAAACTTGTGCTGTTTCTTCTTAATGAAATAGTTTAACTGCAGGTACTGCAGGAGATAATGAAATCCAACCACAGCATTGTGAAGGGGTGAGAGCCTGAACCATGGGGAGAAGGCAGGGTCACGAACCACTTTCTCTCCCCCCCCCCCAAATTGTGAATGGTTTATTCACAGTTTGCTAATATATTATAGCATACAAAGGGTATATGACAAAAAATTGGCTACAGACAAAAATTGAAAGGCATAAATTCCACAGCAACCCCTACCCTCCAATATGTACAGACTAAACCCACTTACATCTCACCTTTAATAGATCACTTAAAAAAAAAAAGTAAACACCAACCCAAAACTTGAATTATTTGACCTCAGTTCTTAATTTGGATTCTGCAATGTAGCTTTAAAAAAAGGGTTCACACACACTCAAGTTCCTGAGCATAACTAGGATGTAAACTCCCAATATTTGTGTAATGAAACGAAAATAACTTTTTAAAAAATCTGTACATGGTACCCCATTAGCTCTAACAAAATGCTAGTGTAAAACTGTGTGTGTAAGGTACGCCATGCAGAGTTCTTCATAAGCCAAGCACTTGGAATGCATATGCATTTTAACTACGGCACACTAGTTTCTGCTCCAAACCCCACAGCCTTCCCAAGTGATCTGGAAGGCCAGATCCCAAGAAGCCTCCTGCACCCTTTCTCAGCCCATCAGCCACTTCTCCCCCTCCAGGAGCTAAGGAGCAAAGGAAGATTAGAAGGATGGTGATCCTGGCAGACGAGGAGCAGTTGCATGAGGCATGGAAAGTGCTAACTCAACACTGTTGATAAAGAAAATAAGAAGCTACCCACTCTTCTGGCAGACTTGAAAATCTCTCTTACATAGCTACTCAACTGTTTTGCCTCCTGGGTGTGCAAGAGGGTTCATCCACACTTACTTTTCCTTCATTCTTTCCTGGCATCATCCGTGCTTTAAAATTCTGTGTCCGGATGCCCTTTTTTTTTTGTCTCTGTGAAAACCCTCACTGCAAAGCTAAATCGGAGCAAACAGCAGTCAGTAGAAAACGCGAATCGATGTTTGCTCTGACTGAGTGCTAAAGAGCAGGGTTTTGCAGGGAAAGCACTGGAGCATAAAAACCCCAACACTCGGACACGGAGCTTTAAAGTGGGAACCTATGCCTGGGAAGAGCAGAGCAAAAGGGAAGTGGCGATAAGCCCTATATGATCATGAGAGAATGAACTTTAGCAGTCTGTTGGTGAAGAAAAGGGCAAGGGTAAATATTTTTCACCATTAGTGTGAAATATATATACAGTGGTACCTCGGGTTAAGTACTTAATTCGTTCTAGAGGTCCGTACTTAACCTGAAACTGTTCTTAACCTGAAGCACCACTTTAGCTAATGGGGCCTCCTGCTGCTGCCGCGCCGCCGGAGCACGATTTCTGTTCTCATCTTGAAGCAAAGTTCTTAACCCGAGGTACTATTTCTGGGTTAGCGGAGTCTGTAACCTGAAGCGTATGTAACCTGAAGCGTATGTAACCCAAGGTACCACTGTATAAAAAACACTGTATCCTCGTCCCCTCCCCAGCTGTGTGGTCTGTCAATTACAGTGCCATGTAGCAGAGAACAGGAGAGCAATAACATTAGCACTCGGCTCCCTTTTTTCGTGGAGGTACTTTAAACTTTGTGATTAGTATTTTTATTCTCTGTTACAACAATGAACTCTTAACAACTTCCAACAAACTTTGGAGTACTGATGCTCTTGTCCCGTTACCTATTTTCCTCTTTGAGTTCACACTTCCATTGCAACACATTCAAGCATTACGAATGTGCAGCCACACCTCTCTTTATGTGCTGAAGGTGGGATCAATGCTGGGGTACCTTTGCCAATATACATTAGGCAAGGCATCCAAGTATCTGCAAATTTGTCCTTCACTTTAGGTCCTCTGCTAGCTCTGCAATGTTGTGTAAGCTTCTCAGGCAAGGCAAGCTGCCAGACTTTGGCAGTCCATCCCTTTACCAAAAAGTTTGCTGTCTTCCAGTGACATGCTCTTTCTGTCTGAGTAACTACCAACATGAACACAGTCATTTCTTTATGCACTAGTTCCCATTTTTGTGTTTCCAAAAGTAACAACAGAGTCATTGCCAGATCCAGAAGGTGTTGTTGATCCAAGTACATTGGTGCCTCATAAGTGGCCTGACTCTCTCTGTCTGTGTGTGTGTGTGTGTGTTTTGGTTGAAATAATTATCTCCTCTCCCATTTCAAATTAGAATTGGCAAAGAGTGCATAACATTGCTCAGGAATTCTAAGATACCAGTTTTGGAATCAGTGGTTAAAATCTGCAGTTTTGAAAGATACGGGTCACCATCTTGATACAAAATGGCATCCAATTAGGCAAAACTGACAAAAACCACTGCTCCTTCATTTCAAGCACTATCGTGCAAATTTTGATTATGATTTGATTAAAATTTGCAGTTTTGAAAAGCTCAGTCTGCCATCTTATTTCTTTGTTAGTTATTTTTTTATCCTGCCTTTCTTCCCAAAAGAGCCCAAACATCAAAATATTAAACCAATAATTCAAAATAGTGTCCAATTATATGCAACTATAGAGAAATCCTACTCTTTGATCTTTGGAACCATCATGAAAATTTGGTTACAATATCTTACGAGGTGTCCAAATGCATAGAGAACAGGCAAAGAGACAAACCGCTTTCCAAAATATATAATAATAGATGAACTTTTTATTCTTATCATGGAATGTTTTACCAGAGGGCTCTTGAATTGTCAGCTGTTCACTTTTGCTGCCCTGTCTTACTTCTTGATGAAGTTTCTTAATAAGATTCTGTTTAGGATCTTCTGTGGAATGCCAGAAGCCATTTGATGTTCAATGCTACCTTTCCCAGTAGAACAGCATTTAACACAGTGGCCAAATAATGGACTAGAGCAGACTGCGCTCCTGTAAAGCTTCTGCACAATCCATGCACAGTTGACATACAGAAGAAATTGCACCAGTTGAATGTCTGCATCACTAGTAGGAGCCCTGACCTGTAAGGAATCTGCCTCCCCATAGGAGGTTGTTAGTTGGAGAGAAACAATTCACATTCACAAGATATTAAACTTTCAGTCACTGGCCCAGCAACAAAAGGCAAGAAATAGCAACTCTTTAGTCTCTTTCTCTCTCTCAAAAAAAAACCAAACCAGCAAGATGAAAAATTGAGTTGGTAATAGAGCAACAAAACTTTTTGGCTCAGGGAGTATAAAATGCCTTAACCAGACAGAAGGTGGTTTGAGGTTCTCACTTAAAAGGAATCATGGGGGCCCTTCTTAAGGAGAATAAATTGGCTATAAAAGACATCTTATTGATTGAAGGGGAAGGTGGAGTATGTTGGCCCCTGTTCATATTTCCTTTTGGATTTTATTTGCTGCATTTAAAACCCACAGTTGTGTTCATCTAGGCTCTTTTTTATGTGGCTCTTGAAATATCTGATGGCTTATGTTATGTACTGAGCTGAATAGGATCCAAAAGGCAGCAGTCTGATTGTTCCTAGAACAATAGGATTCAGAATGCAGCAGTCTGATTGGTCCACAGGAGCCACTCAATCCAGCTCCAGGTGGAAGTGAATCCGCAACCTGATTGGCCTACAGGTGAATCCCAGAATTAGCCAATCATGTATGGCCCATTGTGTAAATAATGTATATAAAGCAGACATTCTGGGGGAACTTCCATTCCTCCTCACCACTATCAGCTGAATAAAGAGCATGAAATCCACTCTCGACTCCCAGTATATTTCAGCTTACAACGGTGAATGCAAAATGAAGAGCCATGTCTTGCTCTGTTAGTCTCATAGTTTTAAACACTCCAAACCATGCATATTTTTTTAATGTTTCACCTTACTTCAGTATCTGAGAATGCTTGTCAGTAGTTTGGGTCCCACTACTTTGGAGATCACAGATGAGGAACCTGAGGTCTGGGAGATCAAGGCTGCCCTCCCAGTCTACCTGGCCCTTGGGGACTCTCCACAGGTCACACCCCTCTTCCGAGCCACACACCCTCGCCAGGCTTGCTTCGCACTTTCCTTGTGTGCTTTGGCCAGGCTAGAATGTGTCTTTGGCATCTGATCCTTCATCTTGCTGGCCTGGATGAAGGGTAGACGGTGTGTGTGTGTGTGTGTGTGTGTGTAGAAACTAGCTCACTGTACAAAGATAATGTTTCCATTCATTTGTTCCCACCCACTACTGTCCTGTGGGTGCCAGTAGGTTGCCTTAAAGGGAATGAGACCCTAAAGGTAAAAAAGCCCCCCCCCCGCATCTACATCTTCCTGCACCCAACACCATTCTTACTGTTGCTGTAATTACTGGGCAAGTTGTACAATAGCTTGCTTATTTCTTGGCTAGAAAAATACTTCCATATAAGATATGGTAAATGAAAGAATTGATTTGATTGATCCACCCCAGAGGAAGGAATACTCTTTTCACTGCTCCTGCCAGCCGGTCAGGGAATTACTGCCTACTTGGAGTAGCTGGAGCCATTTTATACTAGGGTTGCCATATTTCAAAACGTCTGGGAATTTACAGACGTGTGGCAACCCTATTTTATACAAGCATCTCTTTTTCTGCTTTGGCCTGCCTTCTTTCTTTATCCACTCCTGGGTTACAAACATAAACAAGCCTGCTGGACCAGGTCAAAGGCTAATCTAGTCTCATAGTAGCCAAACAGATGAAGCCCCCTAACTTGAGCTCAACAGGGCTTGGAACATCTTCCTAAATATATTTTCGGTAGGTATCACTAGTTTGCCTTTTCTCCATAATAAAACAAATCTGGATAAAATACGTTTTCTAATCCATTTTGACTACATCTGAACACCGCGATTGTTAGTGGGCAAGAATAAAGTAGTTAGGGCAACCTCACATAGTTAGGTTGTGGGTAGAAAATTTAGAAAACAGCATTGATGGCTATGCCAGCCTTGTGATAAGGCAGTGACTAAAATTACAGTAAGCCTTGAATTCTTAGCACTATAGCTGACAAAAAATACCCAGCAGCCCCCTTATTTTATTCTCCAGCAGGGATGGGAGACTTTAGGTTTGAGTTGGGAAGCGGTGGTGGTTTCAAAGCCACAGTAAAAAATAAAAAATCATTTGACTGCTGGGCCCCATTGACTTCCCCTTGGGTGCATTCACATGCTGTGCTCTTGCTCCTCCAAACACACCAGTTTTGTAGGTAACTGAACAGGTAGCTTAGCTGTTGAGAGCCACTTCAGAGGGGAAACGGCTTCCAGGAACAAGAGGAGCAGTACTGCTTCTTTCCCACACAAATTCCACCTGCTTCAGAAGTTGAGAATGGGTGAAGTCAAAAGCAAGATATAGCAAAATGTAAGAGATGCTCCAGGGGTGCTGCAAAGAGTCAGGTACTTATCTTGCTTCTCCAGTCCCTGTTTTTCTTTAGCTACAGAGAAATAGCGGTGCTCACGCTGAATTGTGGCTTCATTTGTGTTGATCTTGGGATGCTTCCTTAATGGTTTCCTCTACAAATCTTAGTCGTTATGTGTTCCAAAGGAGACACTTTAATTTATAAAGAGAACCTGAGGGTGTTTAGAATGTTTTCCTTCTTGCTTATTAGTTTATTTTGTTGTTGTTGTTGTTTATGCCTACAGAAATTGAAAGATGCCAACTTTGACGACTGGAAGAACATCAGAGGGCCCCGTCCATGGGAAGATTCCAAGTCTTTACAAGAGCAGAAGCGGTAGCGCCAGCAAAGCCTTGGCTGGAAGCCAGCCTCACTGCCTTCGCTTGGTGTGACCTTGAACGGTTTCTTTCCGGCAGACGGGTGAAGCAGTAGCTAACCCTAGCATGAAAAGAACCGTTTTGATCTGACAGAAGGTCTTAGCAGAAGCCTTGTAAATAAACATTGTGAAGCACTGTGTTTCCCAGTGATTAGCAATATTCTACCCAGGGGCTGCCAACCTTTTTGGACTCATGGGTATCTTTGCAAACCAAAGAAACTGTCGGCACCATATGCGCACCGCAACCTGTTCTATTAGGTACAAAGGAATGCTTCTTTTAAGCATAGGAGGGATCCGATAGGTACCAGGGAATGCCTCTGCAAGCTCATGTTGCAAGCACCACACTGATGATTCCTCTACTACACACATTTCTAGAATGGGCTGACCATTTCCCACTAAGAACATCAAGAGTTTATTTTTGCTTCTTCAGCGGATTTAAGGACAGAATCCTCACACCAAAAGGTGGGTTGCTATTTAGCTACTCAGTCCAGGTTCTTGCCTTATTAATAGGTCCAGCCAGGTCTGGCGCTAGATCTTACAGTGATCCAAGCAAGGAGTCCCTTCAGCACCAACCTTCAGATTTTATTTTTGATTGCATTTCCAAAACACTTCACAACTTCAATACATGACTTGCATATACAATTTATCCCCGTCATATAAGGCATTTCAATTTTGAACATGGATCTGATCGCAGTGACTAACGTGGTTTTTATAATTTATTGTAATTTCCCCCAAGAATAATGATAAAGAACACAAACATAACACTGGTCACAGAGGCCAGGATTACCAGCTATATAATGAAGTTTCACTGTTCGGGCAATTTGTTCAGCTCTTGAGTGGATAGTTGAGAGGATAGCCCATGACACATGTCTCCCAAGGGTAGCACCCAGTCAGTAGCCTGGGATGCCTGCCCCTAAATCCAGCCCTGGGCCATCTAAATGGTGATTTCTTGCAGCCAGCACCATATTACCCCACAGAGGTGCAATGGGCTTCTTCACGATACAGCTTTGGCAAATGTTGAAGATTCCCCGCTTTGTGTGGCCTTTGACACCTGAGATGCGTGTTTTCCAGACCCACCATGTTCCTGCAACTGTAATCTATTTTAACAGTTTTTAATTTTAAATTGCTGCAACATGCACTTGGACCTGCTGGTGAGGGTGGGCAATAAATTTATTATTAATAATAATATAGCAATAATAAAACTAAATACGTCCAAGCAGTGGGACAGTTTTTGAGGTGGGCGGGCAGGACAGCAAAAGGCTTCAGTGCTGGTCAGGGCACGTTTCTTCCTTCAATAAATCATTGGAATTGTTGCTTTTGTTTCTAAGTCCATTTCTAAGTTCATGCCCTTTGGGCCAGCAGAACTTTGGTCCATCTAGCCTGGTATTGTCTATTCTGAACAGAAAATGCTCAGAGCTGACAATCCTGGTATCTCCGTCACGTCTTTTTCAGCCTTGGTACTTGAGATCTTTTAATGCAGGGGTTGCCAACTTGGGGGGGGGGGGGCTGTGGGCACATTTCCAAACCAGAGAAATTGCCACAGGCATGCTCCACGATGGGTTCTGTTTGCTCCAGTAGAATGCTTCTTCCAAGCTTTATTTCAGGGGCGTGCATGCAAAGCATGTGCTGTAACTGCTGAGCACTGGCCTAGAAAGGCTATTGGAATTTGGATTGCGGTCATGGATGTTTTAGTTGAGATTCCTGCGTTGCAGGGCGTTGGACTAAATGACCCTATGATTCTTAAGCCTGTTTCAAGCTTCCTAGCTGTCTGCCTGTGTGGGGCAGGGAGAACTTGACAAGACCATCCCTTAAGGACTTGCAGTGATCCATAGGTAACCTTTTCTTGCACAGAGAGTTCCATTTGCTGTTACGAGATGCTATAGTCTAGCACTTCCCAGAGGACTTATTGTTGTTCCATTAGCCTCAGTTGTGCCTCATGAATGGCTCATTCTGCCTGCTACATATTTTATTTTGCAGTGGTCTTGCTGCTGGCAGCTTTTCCCTGTGCGAAATCTAAGAGTCTTTATATGCGATGTGCGATCCAGTACACACACACACACACACACACACACACACACATTGAAGTGTGGCATTTTGTAAGAGCATTTTCTCATCATGCCCCCTCCGTCTCTTGAGATTTAGGGAGGCCAAGCCCGGTTATTTTATTCCATCGTCTTGTGTGATTCTTTCTGCATTAATATTTGGAATATATTTATTTTAAAGATATTTATATCTTTCCAGACATGAATACAAATCAAGGTGGCAAACAAACAAAAAATAAAGCTTCCGTGGAACATTCGTATGTTCAGTGAAAAGAGGGATGTCTACCATGAAAATGTTCCTTGGCCCACAATTTTGGAAGCAGGTTTTTGGTTTCACCTCAGCCAGAGGAGAAGCAGCTGTCCCAGAATCCAAATACCATTTCCTGGCTGGGCCACAAATATCCAACTTGTGTTCAGAGTTCTGTAAGTTTACAGCAGACCTTAGCATCTTACCATCACCTTTCCATAAACTGTCCCCTGATGTGTGGGGCTCTGTTTGCATGCACACAACTGTGGGAGTCATGATTGCAGTGTCACACACGCCTTGCAGCTGCAACAGAGAAGTAACTCCAGTGTGTTGTTGTATGAGTGTGATAGAGGCCTGAGTTGAAATAGTAACTTTGCCTGTTGCCCCAAGTGTCTCACTTTCTGGTATTTATAACCCCATGTCAATCCTGGGTTGTGCAGAACGGTCCTCAAGAGTGATGCATTTAGATCTGTGAGACTAAGCCAACAGCTTACTTGAAGCAAATCCCATTAAACAACTGAGCCATTGGGGCCAATACGTTTTACCCATCATTTTCCAAACTGCAAAAAATATTGCTGTTTTTTAAAAGCTGATTTGTTGTGCTAGGGCAGGGGTCGGCAACCTAAGGCCCATGGGCCACAAGCTGCCCACGGGGGCCGTTTAACTGGCCCACGAGCCGCCCCCAAACCAAGCCGCCTGCTCGGTGAGTCCCCATGTGCTGTGCTAAACCAGCGCAGCACAGCACTGGGACTCGCTTCCACGGCACCAGAAATCGTGTCTGCACATGTGCAGATGCCAAAAATCATGTCTGCGCAGACACACACACCAGAAATTGCCTCTACGCAGACGTCGGATCTCCACTGGAATGAACTGGCTTAGGTGAGGTAAACCTTGCCGACCCCTGTGCTAGGGCAACAGAGCAACATGATCCATTTTAAGCGCAGAAATTTACAGTATGCATGTGAATCCCTCCTGCAAAATCCTGAAAGTCTAGAGGCACCTAGCATTGGACTTGGGCTGCACACTGGAATAAACTGGATGGGGAATCTTCCCTGAATTGCCTTAGATTAGAAGCTGTGATTCTTGGCGTTGTTTTATTATGCGATCAGAGAGAATTTTATGTTATATGGTACACGTCTTCAGGCACACAGAGGGGGTGTTTCCTCCAGTGTTTCATTAGAGATTCATATGGATTATTGCTTGGAAGCTTACATACCAATTTGAGTAAATTTCATCCTATGCATGAAGCATTTGCTAGGAAGAATGTTTTAATTACAAATGCAATCTGAAATTTAAAGGTTTAAAACCTTGTTGGCTGCTTCGCCTTGGGCCTTTGAGAACTCTAGCTTAGCAGAGCATAACACATAATTACTGTGAGCCTAGGGAGTAAAAAAAAACCAAGCCATCTTCGCAGGAGAAGAAAATCTTGAGTGACTTAATAGAAAAGTATTCCCTTTAAGGACACTCTCCCCCATTTTTTTTTTAAAAAAGGATGGCCTCCGTCAGTGTGTCTCTGTGGAAGCACAGTACTTACAATCTCTGGGGATTTCTTTGTCATTACCCTTGAGATATCTCCCAGCATAAGTCTGAGGAAATCCACAGGGATCTTGAGTTACTGAGCCACACATTTTGATACTGTTCAGACCTGCATTGTGGAAGATCTCTTGTCTTGCTTCTGCCGTTCTTTGGCATCCAATCCACCCTACTAAAGCAGGTATAAGGAACCTGTGGCCCAACAACATCTGGAGGACTAATACTGTCCTAATTTGGCAAATATAAAAGGCTTTCTTTAAGGGTGTGGTGTTATTATGACACACACAAAAATATGAATTCTGCCCCAAATTTGTAGATTTTTAATTCCTAGGTAAAGGTAAAGGTACCCCTGACCGTTATGTCCAGTCGCAGATGACTCTGGGGTTGCATACTCATCTCGCTCTATAGGCCGAGGGAGCCAGCGTTTGTCCGCAGACAGCTTACAGGTCATGTGGCCAGCATGACTAAGCCACTTCTGGGGAACCAGAGCAGCTCACTGAAACACCGTTTACCTTCCCGCCTGGAGCGGTACCTATTTATCTACTTGCACTTGACGTGCTTTCAAACTGCTAGGTGGGCAGGAGCTGGGACTGAACAACGGGAGCTTACCCCGTCGTGGGGATTCAAACGGCCAACCTTCTGATCGGCAAACCCTAGGCTCTGTGGTTTAGACCACAGCGCCACCCATGCCCCTTAGTGCAATTATAAGCTCTGTTTAATATAAGATGCAACAATTTAGCTACAAATATTTTTCACACTAAATATCTGAAATCATGACACTCAACCGGGTGTGTGTGTGTGGAAATGCTTGGTTTAACATTTTTGAAGCGTTCACAGATGCAGAAATAACTTCAAAGCCCGCAGATGTCTAATAATTTCAGGCCCCTCTCTTTGCTTCAAAGATCGATCAAAAAGGAGCAAATCCTTTGACTATGGTACAGTAGATCATGCTTTTAATTACTAATTAACCTTATGGAGAAATGAAGCCTTTGTTAATAAAATGTTGCCATGCTCACTCAGGTAAGAGCAGAAGACACTACAG